TTAGAAAGATCAGTAGAATAGAGGGAGGGGACCAAGGGCATGAAGAGGGGTAGTGCTGGGGACAGAAGTAGAGAAAATTATATTTCATGCTTTTGTGATTATGTCAAAGTATATCCTAATATTATATACAACTAAAAAGAATGAATTAAAATTTTTWAAAAATAAAAAAAATATCTCTTCCTGGATAGAAGTTCCCAATACTTTTGCTGGAATGGAAATATGATCATCTTTTTTCACCAATGAAAACTTCTCTGTGAAAGGAACCATGGTTTGAAGAGGAGGGAAGGGAGAAAAGGAGAGGAGAAAATGGAAGAGGAAAGAGAGAGAGAGATTTTTAACATAAATTCAATTTTTCCTCACGAAATACCTACAAGACTGCGTTGAACATAACCTAGAATAGGAAGAAAAAGTTATGTTTATGTTGTTTGCGAATTCTCCTGGTTTATGTACTATTTCTTCTTATATGATTTCAGCACATATATGATTCCATAATTTACCTCTTTGTTTCTGCCTTTAGTAAAAATCTTTTCATATTAAAAAAAAAAATCTTGTATCAGGACATTTTCCCTGAGCTCTCTGTTCATGGGTATACTAAAAAGACAGTGTTTTTCCAAGCTCACTTTCTAGGCCACCGTGAGACAATTTTGATTTTCCATTTTYCTATCATTTTCATGCTTGGCTACTTTTCTAAAAAGTTAAAAAAAGAAAATTGTTGAATATAGTGATGCTTCCTCCTGCAGAAAGTAGTAAGCACTTAGGTAGCTCCCCAAGAAACAGACAAAGGAAAGCTGTCCATGGTGCTGGATCTCAGTCTCCATACACAGCTGACAGCTCCTCCAACAAGAATTCAAGAATTGTGAGGAAGATTCCTGCAGAGGAGGGGAGGAACTGCTCTGTAATTAGCTGACTCTCTGTGATGTTGTGAAATTCATGAAAACAGGATGAACGCTTGACTGGAATCACAGCTATTTGGGATCTTATTTGCATTCTCTCTTAAGCCTGAAGTGCTATAAATAGAAAAGTCTATACATAGCGATGAGTTGTTTCCACCAATAGTGATTTTATGTTTTAGAAACATCTAGAGACATTATTCATAAGGATCCATTTCTGCACACTTTCCCACTGAGAATCTCCCTCTCTTGACACTGCAGGTGGCCAACTTTGAAATCTGCTAATGATCCATTAGATACAAAGAATGCAAGAATTATTATTCTTTAAGCTAATATGTGCAGAAATCCTTTTAGTTCTAGAAGATTTCCTGGMATCTGGTTATGTTATATAAAAACCTGGCACCTCTTTTAAACCAAATTTTTTTTGTTTTTTTAATTAGATAATTTTTTCTAAAAATAATTTTTAATACCCATAGAAACTCAATGACAGTCACTCATTATGCTTACCATACTGTAGACTTGTAATCTAATATTCTGTAGTGGTTAAAGTGCCAAAACATACAGATATATTTAGATGCATGGTATTTTTTTAAACTGAGTTTTAAACCAACTGAGTGAATGGTTTCCTCCTTCATGTTATAGTTAAGTGTAATTATATATGCAGCAGACTACATATTGTGCTAGTAAAGTAAAAACCCTCTATAATCTTTGTACCTTGATATAGAAATATCTTGTTTTCAGATATATATTAGTTAAAAGTTAAAATATAGTCCAAAGAGTAATAAAATTATAATGCCCTGGCATCATGCTAAGAACTCAATAGTAATTAATGCCCATCAAATTTTACTCTTAAAAAGAAAAGTTGTCCCAGGGAGTTGCCTTTAAACTTAAAGTAAACTATACATGASGATTACCTGATGACTTTAAAAATACAAAATCTTGGCCTCACCCCAGAACTTCCAGATCAGAATCTCAGGAGAGCAGAGGATTATGCACTTTAAAAGCCACAGAGAGAACTCTCTAGTAACATCTGTGATTGGACCACAGATAAGCCTCAGAAACTGCTTTCATAGGAATTCACATGTTACAGAGCTGAAGTTTCAAATTCTTGCTGCATCTACATTTCTTGTTACACATGCTGTGTGTTACAGAGATTTATTCATGTATTGTCTTCCCCAAAGACTGTAGAAGTGAGTCTTACTAACTTTYTGGCACATGGCTCTATCTGCAACATATGTTGCAAATATTTCTTTCAAGCAAATATTGCTTGAAAGAAACTGGCAAAAATATGATATTCTGGTGCACAGGTAAAAACTTCACCAACAACTGGATTCTTTTCCAGACCTACTTTTTATTCATAAAAATGTCATGACTTCCTCAGAGAGGGATTTGTACTACAGTTTCTATGTGGTTTGCTGTTCTTATGAAGGATAAAATTTTTAAAACTTTCTCATATAAAAAATATACATTTCATGTGATTACATTCTCATATAACTTGTTATTCTAAATAGTGCCAAACAAATTCTCAGCAATGTCTGAACAAGATAAATTGGGCAAAGAAGGATGATATTGTTTCAATCACTGTTTCTGAAAGTCTACTGTTTTATATACAATCCATCAATGGGTATTCCTTTTTCTGGCCAATGTTACCTTCTGCTTCAGGATGTGGAAAAGCATCAAAGTGGCTTAAGTGACAGAGAAAATCTCTGAGTTTGTAGCTTCTGAATAAGTTGGATCTAGTAATGGGAATCTTTGGCAAGATATGGATAGAAGAAACCATTAGATTCACATGTGGTACAGTCAGTAGCAAAACTAGATTTTAAAAAGTCTACTGGTGAAATATCTGGCACTCTAGTCTTTTGAAACTTGAAGGTGTAATTCAAAGTGAAGTACACASAGGTGCCATCATCTGGAAGAATCTCCAATGGTTAAAGTTGACAGCCACTAATGAAAGGCTGAGGGACATCAAGATGGGACAAAGGGCTGTACACTTGCCCTTAGAGAGCCAGAAAAGGTGATTATCTCTGTCCTTGAACTATTTTCTATAAAACCTATATTTCCCTCTCCACTGTATCTGCCTACTGATGCACAAATAAACACAGTTGTCACCACACAAATTAATACAACCAACTTCTCACAACATCTGATGAAAGCAAAAATGAAAGGAGACTTGGTTTACCAATAGGACATAAAAACCATGTTGTCCTTGGTTTTTAACAGAAAAGCACCCTTTCTGCACCTCAAATCCATTAAGATCTATGTGATCAAAGCACTTAATTAGTGTTCAGATTGGTTTTATTTTCAGATACATGGTATTCTCCTTTGTCTTGAAAAAAAAAGTTAATTTGTTACACTCCTAGACATTATTCTAGAATGGAAATTATCATAATACTGATCTTTAACCTTTTCCCCAACCTTGAAAACCTATGTGATTTTATATGTTCATTACATACGTGTAAACTGCTATGAAATTGCCCTGAAAGTTATAAAAGGAATAAATAACTGATGGCTTAGAGGATTAGCCTGTGCATTTGTAAAATCCTAGGGTCTCCAAGCCTTACATGCCAACAAAGCTAGCTTTTCCTGTTAATACATAAACTTTCTCCATAGCACTTTATCCCACTAACACAAAGAATTAATATAAAAATAAAAACATTTTTAGAAAAGCAAACCCTTTCACAATTCACTTAAATACTATTTAGTACAGAAGAAATTGTCTTTTCCTGTGAGCAAGTTTATTTTGGATTAAGAGAGGACTGAAAAGGAAAAGACCACAAGATGAAAACAGCAAGAGAGAAATACCATGGTATAGGTAAGACTACAACCAGATTAGGAGGCTGAATAATAAAGACAAAATATGCTAGCTTTCTAATTATGGAGGCTGGTTCTGGCAACTATCTTTAGGAGCTAACGATCATATTGAAAGGTAAGATATAAGTAGGGGAAAAAACAAAGATCCACATATGGCAAGGTGTGTGGACTAAGGAAATAATGAGAGAGAAAGGGGAGAAAATAACATCCATATTGAATGAAATTTATATTATTGAAAGTGGCAAAAAACTCAAACTAGCTTAAAAACACAAAAGACGGGGTAGACTATGTGTATTCATGTAACTACACAATAACAGCTGATTCTGCTGCCCAAATAATGTCATCACTAACCTCTCTCCCCCACTCGCTCCTATTTCCTTGCTAGATATTAGTTATCTACTCTTAGCAAGGCTTTCCCTCTGGATGAGTAAATGCCACTAGCAGCTTCCCAGCAGAAAAAGAGCACTCTCCTCAGAGTTTAGCAGAGGTCCTGCCCCCAATGCCAGGCAGCCTGGTGTGCCCCATGTACCCATCTTGCACACTGTGAGTGGTAGCAAGAATRGAGTCTGCCCCTTGTAGACAACATGGCTGAGAATGATGGATGGGTGGGTGCTCCCAAGGAAACTGGGGCTACTGTTACTTTAAAGAGGGGAATGGATACAGGGAAGGCAGAAATAACAGATTCTAAGTCACTTCCCCCTCCTGAGAATGCTTTCCTGGCAAGTAAGAGGAGTATTTTTTCCTGAGCTCTGCTTTCATAGACACTCACAGCCTGGGGCCACCAAACCATATTTTAAGTAGGAGAATTGTATAGTCATTACAGCTCCCCACTGTGCCTTTTTTCAGAATTACACAAGTGCAGCTTTTGGAGGACTTTGCTGTCAATATAGGGAGCTTATCACAGCTTAAAATTCTCCTCTGAGCTTTGAGCCTGAGATGGCTTTTCCTAATAGACATTTGAAGCACTTTATTGAAGCAGCAGCACACATATTTAATGAATCCCTGAAAAGGCACCTAGTGTGAAATAAAAGATGAGATAAATCAAAAACAAAAATAGATGGCTTAAAATAGCTTTCATTGCTTCTGACAATCTATAAAGCTATCCATCTGCTTTCAATATAAAACACACAGATAAAAATACTCAAACATTAAAACACAGGAAAAAGGGAAGAAAAACTCCACTTATTAGACAAGTTGCAATTTTTGTAGTTTTATTTATATATGCATGAGTACATGCGCATGTATGTGTATAAAATATCAGTTGTTTTCTGATTTTTGAAATTGCTTTTCTTTTCTCAGTGACAGTGACAACTGGTTTTGTGAGTGTCCAAGGCTGTACTCAGGGAAGCTGTGCCAGTTTGCAAGTTGTGAAAACAACCCATGTGGAAATGGTGCCACCTGTGTTCCCAAATCCGGAACAGACTTTGTCTGCCTCTGTCCGTATGGGAGATCTGGACCCCTCTGCACTGACGGTAAGACATTAAACATGTGGCACAGGCAGAGAGAGATGAAGAGGACAGAAGTGACTTAGAGACATAAAGGATAGCACCTGGTGGATCAAATACATCAGATTCTTTTCTTGGTTCTTTTCAAATTAGTTGAGACAAGACTCACTACTGACACTGATCACTGAGCAGGTGTTTCTCATACCTATCACGTAATTACAAAAGACATAATGAGCTTTCCCTGAGGTTAGACTGCAGAAAACCTATGCATTATAAAATCTTAAAGTCAATCTAATAATAAGAAAGTAACAAGGAAAATCAAGAGCAATACAAGGAACAAAAGTATCCTATATCATTTTGGCAAACTGAGGGCATAATAGTAATAAATTTACATATCATAACCCAATTATTTCACATTTAAACATAACAAAATTATGACTTGGTTATTATATACCAAGAAATTAAATCATGAAGAACAGTTCTATGCCTCTCCTTAGGAAAATTTAGGATGTGTAAAGCCTAAATTGTACAAAATAACAAGATGCTATATGATAAGATTACTTTAAGAAGCAAATTGTCGGGGTCAGGCCCAGCAACCAGCCAAGTGACAGAGCAGCTACACGTGCCTGCGGGGAACGCGGACCGGACCCACTAGGACAGGTCCGGCGGCCGGCTGAGGGCCAGGCCCGTCCCCTCCCCCAGTGTCTGCAAGGTAGGCGGGGCTGTGACCACTGGCAGATCGGGCCGAGCGGCCTACTGAGGGGCGGAACCGGCCCCTC